CGACTAACTAAGTTGCCAATGACTGCCGTGAATGCTTAACTCCCGTTCATATAGTATAGTTGTAAGGCTCAGCAACTGAAGCTCCGGCATAGTCGAAAAAAGACAGGATATAGGAACTTTGCGAGGGTGGATGGTCCTGCAAAGATCCACTGCCGTGCAATCATAGGCTGCCCAGTTGCTGCTTTTGTAATCATCAAAAATTTTAAAAAAATAACTTGAACCGAAAAGTTTGGCAAATAAAATCCGTACACAAAATCATTACAAAGAGAAATAGAGTAAGTTGGGACTGGAGGTATTTGAACAGAGAAAACAATAAAATGATCCTAGTTGACCTACCAGGATGAGATGGCCCGTTTTTACGTCAATTTGCATTTGAACCGGTTCCTCGCTCCTGAATGAAGAAATAATAAAGAAGATGAGTCAGACAAACACTTAGTTTATTTGAGGCGATGGTTCCCGCAGATTTGCACCAAACACCGAAAACGACAGATCTAAAACTGATATGACTAAACTAGCTATCATGGAATGAGAAGGTGGACTGTCACTTTCCGTTAATCATTCATTTAAATTTTGGGGATTAAACAGATAAGTTAACGACTTTACGATCGAAGAACAAGGATAATCGCAAGTTTGATGATCACAGTCGAAATCGGTCGACGGTTCTGTCCAACTCCACACCACGTCTGCCCATGAGGTTTGTGGATAACAGATAGATAAAATCTCAATATCCTAACAATATTCGAGGAAGGAGTAGGATGCATCAGTAAGTTCTCATTTGGGGAAAGCAAGGGCTTTGATGAATGTCAGACGATGGATAGCAAATTGTCAAGGACTTCCTAGTTAAGTCAAGGAGACGTCTAAAATCTTTGAGCGCTCTAACGTGTGTGAGGAATGAATTATCAAACAGCACAGAAGCGGAAGCAGGAAATGAATGTCTAGAAAAGCCGTTAACTTATTAAAAACTTTCATACAAAAAGTTTCCAGTGCCCTCTAAAGTCTCCTTCTGCAAAATGCACATTCTACTTATTTTACTTGGTGGGGCGTTTACAAAAATTTGAGATTTTAAACATAATGTAAGAAGTACAGGAAAAAGGTAGATACTCAATAAGTTGGTTCCACGGTAAGAGCTCAATACATGAAAACATTTTTGTTGGAATAAAGTGCACTAATTTCGCTTTCTCGTGATGTTTAAGGTCGAAGAGATTTAAAAACGTC